AAATCTTCTCAAGTTGAGATCTGATCATCAAGCCATCGAGGCTAGGTCAAATGAGTACTATCTACAAGTTTGGGTCTTCTGGTGCATTACCCCTCACTTCATATCAGCTGGACACTTTACTCTCAGTTCTAGCTCTCCATTATCTCTGTCCTTGTCCATGGACTTAGAAGTCCCAAGGTCTCACCACACTTCGGATCAACCAGCCCTTTCTCTTCTCTCTCTCATCTCCAGGTCTCCAGGAGTCTATGTATGGAATGTGGGTGAACTCAGCCCATTTCTTCATTGCTGCCTTTCCCCCTCTTCCACTCACCAGCCAACCAACATGGTCACAACAATCTTACGTGGCTGCTCATGTGCTCCCTTTAAGCTTCAGTCTTGAAGGGATAAAATAAATGAATTTTAAAAAACACAGTAATAATTAAAAAGGAGAAGAGGAACAGGAAAGTGGAGCTATGGAAGAGAAAAATTAAGAGAGGAAATAAAATAAAATAAATAAATACTTAGAAAAAACATGGAGAGGGAAGATGAAAACAGAGATAGAATAGAGTAAGGAAAGGTCAAAATGGAAGAAAAGATGAGGGGAAATGAGAAACATATGAAAAAAAGAACAAGAGAAACATAAAGGATAAAAATCAAGGGAATGGAAAGAGCAGAACAAGGAGGACAAAAAACAATGAAATAAGAAAAGTAAAACAACAAACCCCAAAACAAAAACACAGTGCAGCTGTTGGACCCAGAGAGGAGAAAACTCTGGGGGCTCATGCAAGTCAAGGAGCTCATGAGATGGGTGTGGGAGGGATGTGACAGCAGAGTTCCTGGTCCTAGTTGGAGTTCCTATCAGTCTCCTTATGTATGATCAGGACACTCAGTCTGAAAGTAGTTCCTGAAGGTCTTTGATGGAGCTGTTTTCAGTATCTGTTAGGACAACAGGGAACCTGGGGACAGATTAACTGGTTAAATGCTAGTCTGGTGGTTCTGCAGGTTCTGTAGGTCTGGAGCTAAGCCCACCTGGAAAGCAGTGCCTGAGCTGGGAGTGGATAAAGGTGGGAGGTGACCACACCCTGGGTTACCAGGAGACCATGGGGGTACAGAAGGACTCACACCTTTGCTGTTTCATGTGTGAATCTGCTTTTCCAGGCCACCTTCTTCTGCCAAAGCTGCTCCCAAGATGGTTGCACCATGTCTGACAACCTGTTCACCAGTTTGTCTCCCTCTCTCGCTGTCCATGCTCAGCTTCTCCTCCCAGCCTACAGTCAATCCAATTCTCTAATCTTTCCTCTGAAGTTCAGGATTCTAGGATTTTTATCTGTGTCTGTTTCATTTAGTCTCTCGTATCTTTGCTATGGCGTCCTAGTGTGGTGCTGTAGGATAAAGCACTAGACCACAATGTTAGCTTGAACTGCAAGGTCAACAGTTCAAACTCACCAGTTGCCCCACAGAACCCTATATAAAGTCTCTATGATTTGGAACCAACCTGACAGCACTTAATGACAACAATATCTTTGTTGCAGAGGGTCTGTGTAGTGCATTTCCTAGTCCTCCATCATGCTGGATATCACAAGTCTGGTTCTGGTTGTTTTTTTTCATCCATAAAATGTGGATAAAAATTGTACCTATCTCAAAGAACTGTGAGGATACAAAATGCTAGCATATGGAAGACACAACACTGGCTGGCACTGAGTAAGAGCTCAATAAATATAAACAATTATTACAAATGAGTTTTATAAAGAAAATGATAAGCCATAATCATTTTAAATGTAAAGATTTAAATAGTCCCCATGTATATTCCTTTGGAATACCAAAGCATAGCTACGTGATTTCTAAGAACTTTTTTTATAAACTCAGTAGTATTCCGAACAAACCTGACCTTTCCCAGAGTATGTGGTTATCCTTTAAAATAAATGATAACCTATTTTAGCTTTCAAGGATACAATAAAGTGAAATTCAGCTAGTGACTGATTACTTCACAAAAGCATACTGTATCTGACCTTGGGACACCATGTCCCACACTATTATACTGACTTACCTGATCTGGTCAAATAAAAAGCATTACTCTGTTTGCTTTGAATGATCCCTCAAAATAGTCTACTGAATAAAAAAACATATTGTATCTTCCAGGTTCATAGCTAGCACATCATGCTATATAAATTTGTGTAAGAACTGCTAACCACAAGGTCAGTGGTTTGAGTCCACCAGCTGCTCTATGGAATAATGATTAGGCTTTCTGCTCCTGAAAAGATTTACAGCCTCAGAAACGGTATACAGGGTTCCTATGAGTCAAACTTACTCAATGGCACTTAACAACAACATATGAACCTCACACAATTAAGTCTGAAATATTGGCTGTACTTGTATTTCAAGTTTCCTGCAAATTGGATTTACAAATCAGTGCAAATGCATTTTCTTTAAGAAGTAAAAGATTTCGGTTACTTACCAAGTTTTCTCTTTCAATCCTTTGTTGTTCCCTCTGTCTGTTGAGAGCACTGTGGTATAACTTAGGAGGATGACCAACTGGTCTTCTAGGAATTGTACTTTTGTTTCCCGGTTTGTCAGCCTGTCTGGACAGTTCTTTCAAAAGTCTCTGATTTTCCCGATCAATCTGTCTCACCTCATCTCTTGTGAAAGAGTAGTTTTTCCTAGGTGCTACTGGAGGTGGATCCAAGCGATGTTGTTGTGGCCCCTTTTTTTCTAATTGCAGAAAAGCTACAGAAATGAACAAAAAAAAGGCAAAATGACTAATCAAAGGAGCACGGCAGTATAATGATGCAGGCTTTTTATAACCATAGAAACTATAAAATGTATATTCACGCACACACACACAAATATATATGAGTGAGCCAAAAATTATCCATATACTGGTTATGTTAAAACACCTGTCTACGTCCACAGCTGATGACAACATTAGGCGTGCCTGTGGTATTCTGTCGAACAGATGAGTGACAGTGGATTATGTGGCAAATCATTTGCAAATCAATCATGGCTCTGCCTATGAAATAATCCATGACAGACTTGGGTTTTGAAGTTTGTTAGATGTTAACTGAAACAACTCACGTAAGTACATAAATAGAAGTGTTTGGACATCTGCAAACAAAATTTGGACTGATACTCAAAGGAAGGTAAACATTTCTTTAAAAAAACTGTTGCTGATTACAAGGCATGGATGCATCACTACAAGCCTGAGAGTAAATGGCAGAGTATGGAATGGAAACATTCTCAATCACCAACCAAGAAAAAGTTCAAAAGTCAATCATCAGCTGGGAAATCGATGTGTACAGCTTTCTGGGATCCTCAAGGGCCAGTATTGGAACACTATTGGGAAAAGGTTCAACAGTCAACAGTGCTCCTTATAGTGAGATGCTCACTGAAAAGCTGAAGCCTAAACGTTGGATTAAAGGCAGAGGACTGCTATCCAAGGGCATTGTGATCTTGCATGACAATGCGCATCTGCATACCTCTGCCCATACAGTTGACACTCTGCAAAAACTTCCTTTTGAGGTATTAAAGCATCCTCCCTATAGTCCTGATCTTGCTCCATCAGAGTTTCAACTGTTTGGTCTCCTGAAAGCAGCCCTTCAAGGACAAAGATTCACCTCTGGTGAAGAAGTGAAAACAGCGGGTATTTGTGGCTCGAAGCTCAGCCAAAAACATTTTTAAATAAGGGAATACAAAACTTTGTTGACAGATGGACAAAGCAAAGAGATTATGTCGAAAAATGATGTATTTGTCTTTTCTAAAAGTTGATTACCTTCTACATGCTGACTCACCCTCATACATTAATATACTGTTCTTGTTAACTGTTCCTTGGAAATCCTGTACAGGGTTGCTATGAGTAGGAACCAACTTGATGGCACATAACAACAACAAAGGCTTTCTATATTGCAACAATTTTCTTTAAGTCTCAATTATTACTACACATTTGTGAAAAGTTTCTAAAAACATTAATTTTGTTCCATTTCTTTCAGTTATGTAACCAATCATCTGTCCGTCTGGCACACTGTGGTGGCTTGCGTACTATTGGAAGCTATGCCACTGGTATTTTAAATACCAGCAGGGAACACCCATGGAGGACAGGTTTCAGCTGAGCTTCCAAAGTAAGATAGACTACTAAGGAGAGGTGGAATACTTCTGAATATTTAAGTCATTGAAAACCTGATGAGGAGCAGTGGAACACTGTTAGCACCAGAATACTGAGTATTGATACATGAAGTGCACCAGAATACTGTCAGATATACTTCCAGAAGATGAGCCCCTGAAGTTGAAAGGCACTCAAAATATGAGAGGGGAAGAGTTGACTCCTCAAAGTAGAGCTAACTGTGATGACACAAATGTAGTACAGCTTTCAGAGTCTTCCTTTGCTGAGAGGGCACAACTCAAAATGAGAAGAAAGAGCTGTAAACATTCATTAATAATCAGAACATGGAAGACACGAAGTATGAATCTAGAAAAAAGGGAAGTTCTCAAAAATGAAAAGAAATCTATAAAGATCAACATCCTACTCATCGCCGTTGTCGTTAAATACTGTAGAACTGGTTCTGAATCATAGAGACCCAATATAGGGTTTCAGAGGAGCAGGTGGCAAGTTTGACTCACTGACCTCGCAGTTCAAATCGACTTTACATTCCAGTGATTATCGTACATCATCACACCAGAACTCCATCTCAGGCATTAATGAGCTGAAATGAACTGATGTTGGCCATTCAGTACCATCGAGTTTTGACAATATGCTACCTCTTGAAATGGTTCAGAACTGACCATTTCTTATGTATTCTTCCCATCTTCTTTTGATACTCTCTGCATCATTCAACATTCTGCCCATAGAATTCTTCAATATTGCAAGGCAGTCAGTGCTTGAATTTTTTCTTCAATTCTTGCAGCTTAAGACATGCTGAGCATGTTCTTCCATTTTGGTTTTCTAACTCGGGTTCCTTGCACATTTCATTATACTTCACTTTGTCTTCCTGAGCTGCCTTTTGAAAATTTCTCTTCAGCTCTTTTATTTAATTTCTTCCATTTGCTTTAGCTTTTCTATGCTAGAGTCCTGGTGTGGTGCTGTGGGTTAACACACTGGACTGCAAAGTCGGTTTGAACCACAAGGTCGGCAGTTCAAGCTCACCAGCTGCTCCTTGGAAACCCTATACAGGGTTGCTATGGGCTGGAACCAACTTAACAGTACTTAACAACAATGCTGGAGAGCAAATTTCAAAGTTTCTTCTGACATACATTTTGGTCGCTTTTTTCTTTTCTGTCTTTTTAACTATCTTTTTTTCTTCTTGTATGATGTTTGTGAGATCATCCCACAACTCTTCTAGGCTTCAGTCATTGGTGTCTAAGGCATCTGTTCTTCAGATGTTCTCTAAATTCAGATGGAATACATTCAAGGTTAAATTTTGGTTCTTGTATACTTTTAAATTTTTTCTTCAGCTTCAGCCAGGATTTGCATTAACAGCAATTGATGTTCTGTTTCAGTCAGTCTTTGGCCTTGTTTTGACTGATATTGAGCTTTTCAATAGTCTATTGCTGAAAGTGAAGAGGACTTAAAATATTTACTGATGAAGATCACAGACCACAGCCTTCTGTATGGATTACATCTCAGTGTGAACAAAACATAAATCTTCACCAATGGGCCAATCAACAATATTCTTATCAACGGAGAAAGACTGACGTTGTCAAGGACTTCACTCTTCTTGGATCAACTATCAACACGCAAGGAAGCAGCAGTCAAGAAATCAAACGATCTATTACATTAGGCAAATCTGCTGCACAAGAGCTTTGTAAAGTGTTGAAGAGCAAAGATGCCAGCTTAAGGACTAAGGTATGCCTGACTCAAGCCATGGTGTATTCAATAACCTCATATGCATGCAAAAGCTGGACAGTGAATAAGGAAGACTGCAGAAGAACTGATGTTTTTAAGTTATGGTGTTGAAGGAGAATATTCAAAGTGCCATGGACTGCCAAAAGAACCAACAGATCTGTGCTGAAAGAAGTGCAGCTAGAGTGCTCCTTGGAGGCCAGGGTGGCCAAACTTCGTCTCTCATACTTCGGACGTATTGTCAGGAGGGACCAGTCGCTGGAGAAAGATATCATGTTTGATAAGGTGGAGGGTCAGAGAAAAAGAGGAAGACTCCCAGCAAGACAGATTGGCCAAGTGGCAGCATCGATGGACTCACGCGTGGCAACAATAGTGAGGCTGGCCCAGGATCAGGCAGTGTTTCATTCTGTTGTGCACAGGGTCACAATGAATCGGTACCGACTCGATGGCACCTAACACCAATATTCCCACAGATGACTGGTGTGACACTGTAGGATTAGCACTGGACTGTGAACCACAAGATCAGCAGTTAAAATCCACCAAATGCTACTCAGAACTCTATATAGGGTCACTATGAGTCGGAACCCATTAGACAGCACTAACAACGACAACAACATTCCCAAAGATGAAGTCAATTTGATTCTTTTGTATTCCATCTGGTGAGGTCCATGTGTATAGTCACCTTTCCTGTTGTTTAAAAGAGGCAATTGCACTAGATGAGTCATTGGTCTTACAAAATGCTATCATTCATTCTCCTGCATCATTTTTATCACCAAGGCTGTATTTTCCAACTAAAGATTCTTTCTTTTTGTCTCCAACCTTTGCATTCCAATCGCCAGCAGTTATCAATATATCATGATATGTAATCAATTTCAGACTGAAGACGTTGGTAGCATTCTTAATTTCATCATCACTGTCTTTATTGGTTGGTGCATAAATTTGAATATAGGGGAATTAACTAGTGTTCTTTATGGGCTTAAGGATATTAATCATTTTTGCACAGACAACACTGTATTTCAAGACAGATCTTCAAATGTTTTTGATACTATTCCTCTTGAATTTGTCATTCCAGGAAAAGTAGACCACATGATTGTCAGTACATAAACCATATGACTGCCAGTAGTAGAAACAAACCAAAAGGAAATGAAAGCCTACAGAAAAACGAATACTTCCAAGTGCAAACCACTCCAGAATATACTTTATCTGACCATGCATGATATATGACTCAAAAGGTATTTCTTTTTGACCCAAGATTACCCTTATGCTGCCTTTAAATGCAATGTACTGTTCCAATTAAGATTTTAAACAAAAAGAATCCTATTTATGTTATTCTAACACCAACCATCCCTCCCACAGCATTTTCTGCTTCACATCTGGGTTTGATAATCCACTGCAATGGCCACACAGAACTCACAATACTCATGATTATGGGGTTTAATAGGGTAGTGAACAGGGTACAATTCAGGATCAAAACCAACTCAGGACAAGCAGTTCTCCATTCAGGAACACCTCTTGTTTGCTATATTGCAGGCACACCTCACTATTTTCTTCAGCCTCTCAACCATGAGGCTGCTTGGTCTCTGCTCAGATTGAACAAATTTTACAAAGTTCTTTTAAACAGTCTGTGAATGTCCAAAGGGCACATTCTGGCAAGCCAGTCTCCTGCCCATAGGTACTCAGCCTAAAGACTGAAATTGCTGTCTCTCTTCATGCTGTAGCTTATGCTGTCGCTGTTTTTCTACGTAAGGATCTCACACTCTTCCTTCTTGATGGTCCTAGGACCTTTTATCCCTGCTTCTGAGAAAACTCCTTTTAAACCTAGCTGGAAGGCAAAACTAACCAATCCCAGATTTAGAGTCCTGTGCCATGTGCTGCCAAAAGAACAAACAGATCTGTGTTGGAAGAAGTGCAGCCAGGGTGCTCCTTGGAGGCCAGGATGGCCAAATTGCCTCTCTCATACTTTGGACATACTGTCAGGAGGGATCAGTCGCTGGAGAAGGATATCATGTTTGGTAAGGTAGAGGGCCAGAGAAAAAGAGGAAGACCCCCAACGAGATGGACTGGCAAAGTGGCAGCATCAATGGGCTCAAGCATGACAATTGTGAGGTTGGCCCAGGATCGGGCAGTGTTTCGTTCTGTTGTGCATAGGATCGCTATGTGTCGGTACCGCTCGATAGCATCTAACAACATACCTTATTTGTATGGTCCCACACAATTACTTGGTGAGAATTAAAAAGACTTTGGGTAGAAAAACCTTATCAAATAAACTCAAGGCACAACACTAGTCCAAAGGTAAACTATGGAGTTGCTTTTATTTCACATGTTCCTATCAAACTAAATGTGGGAAATAATATATTGATACACAAATGCAACAATAAATATTCACATTAAAAATACATCTTATTATTGGTGTTTGATGGCATTGAATCAATTTACCTTTCTTAAACTAATTAAAACTTAAATTATGCTATTTCATCAATTTGGTAATGCACTTAACCACAAAGCTGGCTTGGACTGCAAGGTCAACGGTTCAAAGTCACCAGCTGCTCTTTAGAAACCCTACACAGGGTTGCTGTGAGTGGAAACCAACTCAACAGCTCTTAACAACAATGCTCTTCAGAATAAGCCCTGTTGTTGTTGTTGTT